AATCCATTGTCGCTGCCCAAAATCTCCTTTATCTGTAGCATTCCTGTACACCAACAGCATCCAAGCTGTGAGCCAAATCAATAATGTAATCCCATTGATAATAGCCATAGAAAGATTAAAACATATAGGAATACAGAAAACCAGGGAGGTAAAGAATCTTTACCATGATACTTACAAAACACCTGTTAAATAATTCAGAGAGGACACAAAACAGTAAAAAAAGAAATTCCATGCTAAGTGATTGGAAGAATTAATATTGTTAAAATGGCCAAAATGTCCCAGGTAATTTACAACTTCAATGCTATTTCTATCATACCACCATGGCATTCTTCACAGAATTAGAAAATAAAAGCGATTCTAAAATTTATGTGGAACCATAAAGGAGGCTGAATGGCCAAGGAAATTCTAAGCACAAACAACAAAGCTGGAGGCATCACATTACTCAACTTCAAACTATTCTACAAAGCTACAATGACCAAAATAGTGTGCAAATGGTATAAAAACGGACACATACACCAATGAAATACAATAGAGAGCACAGAGATAATGCCACACACCTCCAACTCTCTGATCTTCCACAAAGTTGACAAGACCAAGCAAAAGAGTAAGGATTCCCTATTCAACAAATAGTGTTGGAATAACTGGATAGCAATATACAAAAGACTGAAACTGGGTCCTTTCCTTACACTGTATACAAAATAAGCTGAAGATTATTTAAATACTTAAATGTAAAGCCCAAAACTATAAAAACCCTGGAAGATAATCCAGGAAATACCATTATGTTCATAGGCTTAAGCAAAGTTTTTGTCATGAAGCCTCCAAAAGTATTTAAAACAGAAACAAAAATTGACAAATTGAACATAAATGAAATAAAGAGCTTCTGCACGGCATAAGAAACTATCAACAGGGTAAACAGACAACTTACAGATAAGAAAAAAATATTTGAAAACTATGCATCTGATAAAGGTCTAATATCCAGAATTTATAAGGAATTTATAAAGAATTTTATAAGGAATATAAGGAATTTTAAATTAACAAGCAAAAAACAAAGAAATACATTAAAAAATTGAAAATGGATATGAACAAACACTTATCAAAAAAAGTCATACATGCAGCTAAGAAGCTGCTCATCAGTAATCATTACAGAAACGCAAATCAAAACCACAGTGAAATGACGTCTCACACAAATTATGATGGCTATTACTAAGAAGTCAAAAAATAACAGATGCTAGTGAGGTCACAAAGAAAAGGGAATGCTTATACACTGCTGGTGGGAATATAAATTATTTCAGCCATTGTGGAAAGGAGTTTGACGATTGCTGAAAGAATTCAATACAGAACTACCATTTGAACCTGCAATCCCATTAACTGAGTATATACCCAAAGGAATGCATAAAGCCACATGTACATGTATGTTCATCATAGCACTATTTACAATAGCAAATACATGGAATCAATCTAAATGCCTAGCAATACAATTATATATATTTTATATATATATGCCTGTAATTATATATATTATATGCAATTATATATGTTATATATATTATGTATGAAATTTTATATATTTTATATATTATATATATATCACACCTGTAATCCCAGCACTTTGGGAGGCCGAGGCAGGTGGATCACTTGAGGTCAGGAGTTTGAGACTACCCTGACCAATATGGTGAAACCTCATCTCTGCTAAAAATGCAAAAATTGGCCAGGCATGGTGGCTTGAGCCTGTAGTTCCAGCTTCTTGGGAGGGTGAGTCAGGAGAATCACTTGAACCTAGGAGGTGGAGGTCACAGTGAACTGAGATTGTGCCACTATACTCCAGTCTAGGTGACAGAGCGAGACTCCAACTCAAAAAAAAAAAAAAAAGAGAGAGAGATAAAAAAATATGTACATATGTAGTACAGACATACACATATACCATGGAATACCATGGGACCATAACAAAGAACAAAGTCACATCCTTTTCAGCAACATGGATGGAGCTGGAGGCCATTATTCTAAGTGAACTAACACAGAAACAGTAAATAAAATGTCACATGTTCTCTCTTATAAGTGGTAGCTAAACATTGAGTATATATGGACACAAACAGAGAACAACAGACACTGGGACTTACTTGAGGGTAGAGGGTAGTAGGAGAGTGAAGATTGAGAAATTACTGATTGGGTACTATACTTATTACCTGGGTGATGAAAGAATCTGTACATGAAATCCCCATGACATGTAATTTACCTATATAACAAACCTACACATGTATCCCTGAACCTAAAATAAAATTTAAAAATAAAAATAAATCTGTATTGAATACTTTAAATGCACAGCTATTAGAAATCTTGCAGGTGATACACATACATTAATTTTACAACAAAATCATAAAATCATTTATATAATTTCTAATATAATTTTAAACATACTTTTTAAAAGTAACATTTGATTCAGAAAGCATCAGAATATTCATGGACATTTTTAAATGACACTTTAACCTGAAGGTATCAATTGCTTTCTTCCACCCCTTAAATATAGATAGGCTGGTAGCATACTATAAACAGACACTTATTTTCAGAAAAAAATGGCAGCAAAATTAAAACAATTAATGTTTTCATAAATGTCAATGTGTAATATCTATACTTTCCATGGTTTAAGGCAAATAATAATCTTTTTTATAAAATATAAAAATCTTCTTTATAATAATAAATTTTAATTTTATAATATCAACCACCTAAATGTTATGCTGTTGGTCTTCATGAATTACCTTTTGAACATTCATGCAATAACTTGTCTATAAATGATCCAGATAATATATTTTATGATATTATTTATGTAACCTTCTCAAACATCATTTTACTATCCTAAACAAAACTCTCATTCATAGGTTTATATTGCTTTCTGTTACAATAGATCTTGTAATGTATATGCCAATAGGTGCTATATATCATGATATATTAATACTACAGATTTTCTGGTATGTCTTGCCATTGATTCCTCAAATATTCACATAGTTTTAGTTTTTCTCATTTGTCAGCAATATTGTAGATACAATTTGGTAAGTTTTTTCAGAGTATCAAGTTATATAGTCACCACATAATCATTATGTAGCTCATTTCCAATAACCCTCAAAATTTCCTTCTGCTTTTTTGCAATTAGTCCCTTCCTGTTGCCAATGACACATATTGACTAGATTTCTTTCACTACAGTTTTCATTTTATATCATGTTATAAATTAAATTTTAGAGTGTGGCATCTTCTTTATAAGTTTTATTTTGCTCTGCATTATGCTTTTTGTAATTCACTGATGTTCCTGCATATATCCATGGTCCCTTTTTATTATGGGATGATATCCCATTTTATGTTAATACGTTATTTCTTTATTCATTCACCAGTTGGTGGATATTTATATTGGTCCTAGTTTTTCTCAATTATGAAAAATTCCTCTATGAATCTACCAGAACATGTCTTTATTATGGATATATCTTTTCATTACTCATAGATAGATACCTAAGAGTGGAATGGCTGGGCCAATGGTAACTTTATGTTTACCTCTAAAAGAACCTGCAGAATTGCATTCCAAACTGTTTGTATCATTTTGTATCTCCACAAACAAATGAGAATTTCTATTATTCCTCACCAATGCTTTTTATGGTTAGCTTTATAAATTTTAGCCATCTAACGGTTATGCCAATGGTATTTTATTGTTGTTTAATTTTTATTACTCTGATGATTAATAAGGTTGACCATCTTTTCAAACATTTATTTGCCATCTGTAGGTTTAGAATCTGTATAAAATTATCTATTAGATACGTACTTTTAAAACATTTTCTATTAGCTTGTGTTGTGCCTTTCTTATGAGTTTGTTTAAAAGAGTTAGTTTTAAAAATTTTGATGAACTCATGTAATTTATAAAATTTGTGTGTACTATTTAAGAAATCTCTGTTAAACTTAAGGTCACAGAGATTTTCTCTCATGTTTCTTTTCTGAGATATTTGTAATTTAAGTGCTCACGATTAGATCTATGATTTATTTTAGTCTAATTTTTTTATGTGATATTAGGCAAGAGTGGGATTTCATTTTTCTTACAGATGAAGGAATATTAATTATTCTAGAACCATTAGTTGACTATATTTTCTGTTTGTTTTTGAATTGCCATTATGTTTTTATTTAAAGTTAATTGGTTATACATTTGAGGGTTTTTTCTTGATCTGTCTTTTTTTCCCATTAATCTGTATGTCTATTTTAACAGCAACATTTTATAATCTTACTGGTTACTTTGTAATAAGCCTTAAAATCATGCAGTGTGAATCATCCAACTTTGTTTTTTATTTTCATAATTTTTGTTATTGTTAGTCCTTTGCATTTCCATATGCATTTTATAATTAGTTGTCATTTTTGAAAAACACATAGTTTTATCTGGGCACTCATCATATTACAATGTTGGTTTTTCTCTATTGTAACTGAGGCAACAGGGTATATACTATATCAGCATGCATTTCCTCATTATCCTCCCACCATCTCTACCTAGACCCTCTCTCACAATGATATCTTACCCTCCAAAGGCTCTTTTCGTATATATAAAACTTATTTCTCCTATCTACATCTTGTTTTTTGAAGACTAGATTCATATATCAAAATTTCAACTTGATTGTCTTATTGGAAGCCTACTATCAACATATCGAAAATGAATCTTATATCCTTGTGCTTTAACATATATTTTGATCTCTTCATCAGAGTTAATGGTGCTCTGTCAGTCCATTCAGATGCACCTGCCACATAATTAAATGTCTGTCTTTATTCTCTCCTTCAGCTGATACTGTTAATGGTCTTGTTTAACACTTACTCTAAATTCATTTCTGATCACAGAGGCTGAAAAGCTATTACAACTGGGAGAATGCTATCTGTCAGGCTTAGAAACCACTAGTTTAGACAAACTGCCTATGTAGCTCTTTAGACATTGCATTAGATTACATGAATGGAAATATGAGATCTGATTATCTGGACAAACTTACCCATAGTTCTTTGGTACTAATCATGGATTGTGCTCTAGAATTGCTGTAATTTCCTAATCATTGGCCATGTTCCTTTCCACATTGCTGTCTTCCTTTAGTCACATCTTCTCATGTCTAGATGGATACTTTCCAATGCTGTGAAGGAAAACAAAGATAAGAACTTTGTTTTTACAGAATTTTGTCCATTATTTACATGAGTGAGTAGCTTTTCAAAAAATAATAAAGCTAGTACATATATTACAATAGTTTGAGAGTTGTACACAACACATTAGAATATGTCGGCAATTTGTTTCACGGTAAACATGCTAAAACTAGATAGTATTGAAACTAGAAGGAGGTGTGGGGTCAAGATTTTTAGCGTTTAATTAATTAATTGTATGTTACATGTCAATAAAATTTGTCCATATTTAAATATATATAAAATCATGTTTCATATGCAGTGTTAGGACAAAAGGGAATATATAAAACAGGAAATATTCCAGTTGCTAGAAACTAAATCAGAATCATGCCTATTTCAGTCTTAGAGTTATGCCATAATCTTTAGTTGTAAAATAGAATCAAACCTGACATAATGAATATCTAACAAGGGCAACCAAACCAAGAAAAGGGTTGAAGTAAATATTCAGCTACATTTTACTTATACATTCAGCGAATTTTATCCAGAATGTTTTACAATAAACTCTGTGATAATAATAAGAACATATATGCACTAACATATCTTATATCTATAATCACCACTCCCTGTCTTGAGAGACTGCAAAATGTAAGAGCCCCATATGCCTTTTCTAAAGAATTTTCAAGCTTTTGCCTCCTATTTTCATCAGTTTATATGTCACTTCCACAGCAATGTTTTCTCTATATATCAATCATCTCTTTTTAATTAAGGCAAACGTATGTTGTTAAAAACTTGAACTTGAAATCCTTTAACCACCATGAATTAACTAAGGGATCTTGGACATATTCTTAGCTTCCTCATTCATGTAATACTAATACTACAGTTATCTTTCTCATAAGTTTAGTCTGTTGATTAAATGAGTATATAGAATAGTTCCTGTTATATAACCATTGCTCAATAAACACAAAACTAATATTGATAATTTCTTACCTCCTGTATACTAAAATGTCTATGACATACGACATAAATGTTCTTGTTCTAATTATGTAAATGAGGTATCTGAAAGAGAAATCTATGAAGTTGACAGAGTTAGAATTCTAAAACCAAATCTGCTCAATTTCAAAGACTCCATTCTGTACACAGTGTCTATAATCTAATTTGTTAGAGGAAGACAAATAACAGAATTCAAAGTCATCTCTCTGCTCACTTGAGACAAATGCGTATCAGGTTCTTTATTTTGTACTATGGGTTTATGTTATCTGCAAATTCAGTGAGCCGGATGAAGGCATAAGTAACTATTCCTCTACTACCCACCCAACAAGTAAATTGTATATCCACTGAAAGACTGAACAGAGACTCAAAAGGAACAAAAGGATGCAACCGTTTGTCTCTTACTGACCCATACATTAAAAAAAATTTCTTTTCCTTGCCCTAATATCCACCCTTCCCCTTTAAATATTGAAGCCCCAAAAATCCTCCCTGGAGAAGGCGTAGACCTGCCTCCTGTGTACACATCCTTAACCAAGGCAAAATGAACTTTCTAAATTGATTGAGATTTTTCTTGCATACTTTTGGTTTACAAATGCTTTATTTGAGCCATGTCGATTTAAAAATACAGTTATCATTCATCAATTAAATTGCAAAGTGTTTTACTGCTATTAGCGTCATATGCTACATGACAATTTAGTATAATCCTTAGAAACATTTGTATTCATTATCTCATAATTATGTCTACATTCTTATAAAATATAAATCTTTAGTGGCATTTTATCAAATATAACCAAAATAAAGCATTTTTTTTGCATAATATGGATCTTGTAAACACTTAGCACCAGCTAATTTTACATGTAAAGATTTACAAATATTAATCTGGCTATGTTTTGTAACTAACCCAAGTTGCAACTATAAGAACATTTTGTAGAAAATGTTCTGAGTGCTGCATTATTTTAGATTTTTGCTGAAAACAAACAAACAAACAAAAAACTTCTGTGGTCCCATAATTTTCTATATAAAAATTTCTTTATCTAAAAAATTCAGCAGTTTCTTGCAAGATATTTTGTGTTCTATTTAATTTCATATAATGCTAGGTCTTACTTTCTACGCTGTAGCCAGATATGAGTTCCTTTAAAATGCCAAATACTTTCATGAATCTGGAATTTTGATCATGCTATTTGATTTACCCATAAATCCCTTTTAAAGAACCTTCCAGTGATTACCTACTACTCATCCTCTATCCATCAAATTATGTGTCATTTTTTCAGTAATGTCTTCTCTATCACTGAAATATACTATAAATACCACTACCATTGACATAACTTGGTGTCTGTATTTTCTTTCATTGTACTTAGCAGAATTTGTAACTATTTCTATCTGTAAGCTGATTTTTTTCCAAAGTCCTCCCTCATCTTTATTTCACTATCAGACTTCAAGTGCACTAGTTTATGATTATTTGGTTCATTATTATATATACAACAACTAGGAGACAAATGCATATCAGGTTGCTTATTTTGTCAGAGCTTCCAGGATTTTATTTAATGGATTTTATAAATTAAAAATAAATGAATAAAAGGCTGTAAATTATATATGGTCTAAAGCTGTTTGACTATAGGGAGAAAAATTCTCTGGAAGCACCTATAAATCTGGGAATCTAAGGGGCATACTTAAAGTGAAAAAATTTTAATTGTGTGCTTCAATTTTTGAAAACAAGTGTTCTTTATAAATTAGAGCACAAATGAAACAGACATTAACTTCATTTTGCAATGCATGTAAAAAAAATTGAGAAACAAAACTATTAATTAATTTTAAATTTGTATATTCAACAATGAGGAACAAGGGTTTAATAACGTATTTTAAATGCATACTTCAAATGACACAAATAAAAGAAGAAAAAAAGCATGCAATTCCTTGGCTCTACATTTCAGGAAATTAGTAATTTACTCTAAACTTCCATTGGCCTAATAAAATTAGCATTATGCTTTGATTAAGGTTACAACTCTTCTTTGTTGGTAGAAAATATATTTCAGTGAAATAAGCCAGTAACAAAATGACAGATATTGCATGTTCTCACTCATAAGTAGAAACTAAAAAAGCAGATCTCATGTAGGTAATGAGGATAAACTTTGACCTTTTTTTCTTCTCTTTTCCGAATTCCTATCTAAGGGGCCCAGGGAGTCATGCCCTACAAACCATAAAGTCTCATCAGAGGGTTTTTATTTAACCCTATATAACATGCTCCAACCTGACTCTAGCATAACAACACATGTGAGATAAGGAAGGAAATCAAAATATTTTAACATCAAATATATTTCTTTGCCACGTCTTGAAATCACCCTACAAAGTTGTCTCTTGTGGAGAAAGATCTACATACTATAGAGAATCTCTTTCCCTTTTCCTGGCCTTTTTATTGATCCAGGAAAGACTCAACTAAGAGTCTGAAACCTCTTTAAGTCTGATAAGAAACTTGTACAATCTATTCTTTCTAAAACCTGCTACTGGAGGCTTCATCTGAACTTCATTCTCCACAATCTCTTATCTTAACCCAGACATTTCCTATCTGTTGATTCTAGGTTTTTAAATAAACTCTTTCGACCAAGTACCAATCAGAACATATTTGAATCTGCCTATAACTTGGAAGCTCTGTTTCTGGTGCAGGGTGGGGAGTCTTGAGTAGGACTTGTTCAGGTTCTTGTCATGTGGAACAAAATGCACAAACAAAGCAATGAAAGCATAGATTTATTGAAGCAAAAGTACACTCCACAGTGCAAGAGTAGGCTCAAGGACTCAAGGGCTTGAGCAAGTAGTTCAAGAGGCCTGCTTGCAAAATCTTCCGAAGTTTAGTATTCTTCAAGAGGTTTCCTATTGGTTACAGCCTATATAAATGAACACTTGACTCGCAACCAATCAGAGACTGAAGTAAAGTTACACCCTATGCAAATAAAGACTTGGCCTGTGACCAGTTGGAGGCTGAAGTGAAGGCTTTCTATCTCCAGATGCTATTCTTCTGACTCAGCCCCTCTGCTTATAGTTGTCCTGCCTTTTTAGACAAAATTAGTGTACATCTTACATGTATTGATTAATGTTTTATATTCCCCTAATATATATAAAATCTAGCTGTGGGCTGACTACATGTTCTCAGGGTTCTCTGAGGGCTGTGTCACGGGGCCATGATCACTCATATTTGGCTCAGAATAAATATTTTCAAATATTTTCCGAGGAGTTTGACTGTTCTCATAGACAATAAAGAATAGGATGATAATTACCAGAGGCTAGGAAAGGTAGAGGAGTGAGGTAATGAAGAGAAGTTGGTTAATGGGTACAAAAATCTGGCTAGATAGGAGTTAGTTCTAGTGTTTGATAGTACAGTAGGGTGACTATTATTAATAATAATTTATGGTATACTTCAAAATAGCTAGAAAAAAATTGAGAATGTTACAAACACACACACACACACACACACACACACACAATGTTTGAAGAAGTGGATATCTCAATTACCCTTATGTGGTTATTACACATTGTATGCATGTATGTATCAAAGTGTCACATGTACTTCCAAAATATGTACAACTACTATGCACCAATGAAGAAGGGAAAACATAAGAGGAATAAAGGCATGGATATTTTTAAAAAAGCAAGTATATGACAACTACACAAATTTCATTCTTCCTGATGACATATCTCATCTAATCTTCTTTATGAACAGTGATCCCAAATTATGATGTTCTTTCTCAAGACTGAAAAAACAAATATATTAAGCTAAATTAGAACAGGTGGTGGTGTCAGGACTCCAGCCCACATCACTCTATTATCAAAATCCATGTTTCTCTCATACGTTAAACATTCACCTAAAATTTGTGCTACTTGATTAATTTTAATGATAATTGGAAATTCCTTGGGACTTGTTATGAGAAAATTCTACATATGTCTACAATAAGGGAAATAATTGTTTTCCAGGCTGTTCTCAGTGAAAGTATTCACCATTATGTTCATTTCTAGATGATCAGCAAACATCTGTCTCTTCTACTCTGTATGTGCCCTGAAGGACCAATACAGACAACTATTCTTTCCTGTGCTGTGGAGAGTTTCAAGTCCTAATGCTCGTCTATGAATACTTTTCTTGAAGTTTTTAGTGCTTTTGGAATTTAATTCTTATCTCATTTTAAATTATATAAAAGAAAAATTTTCTTTTCAATGAAAAATAATTAAAAAATACATTTTAAACTTTAAATATACAGATGAAGGTAGATTGGAGAAACTAGATCAATTCTTCTGATAAGTAGAATACAGATTAAATACAGAAATCATCTTTGTGATGGCAGAAAAAAAATTGAGAAAATAAAAACTAGAGGTGCTAAGAACTCTAGAACATGGGCAGTCTCAGAAAGGTAAATTTACATGTATAGCTCCTTTTATCTTAGTGGCAGTTTTTAAGCATCAGAAAGTTTTGTTTTTTTTTTTTTTTGGTATTTCTATGCACAGGTAGAAGACATTGCATCTGAAAAAGACTCCTGCTTAGTTAAAGAAAAAAAAAAAAAAAACAGCAAAGCTTTTGAAGACTTGGAGGAATCTCTAAACCTGTTACTTTTATGCTGAAAACATTCGCAATAGTTCAGGATGAGAGGCTAAAATAACCTAACAGAAAAATCTATTAAACAGAACAGAAGTTTCAGCATTCTTGAGAGATAATTATTAAGGTTTAGAACTGTAAGAATAAGTTCTAGAAAATACAAAAGCTTCTCAGTTGAACATGCTAGAAGGGCAGAGATAAAATGGAAGCTTATTGCCAGCCCAAAAAAGCAATAGAATTGTCTGGTGATGTTGAAAATATATTAGAAATAAAAACTCATAAAAATTATTCAAACTGTTTAGTTGCTAAAATGTAAGTATTCTAATGGTTTAGTATGGCTGGGAAAGTGGAAAAGTATTTATTTGCCTTAAACTGTTATTAATACTCATGTTGAAATATTTTTCATTAATATTATTTTAATTCATAAATTTTAATTGTATACATTTATAAGTACAATGTGATGTTTTGATAAGTGTAAACAATATATAGTGATTAAATCAAGTTAATTAACATATCTTTCACCTCACTTGTCATTTTTTTGTGGTCAGACATTTGAAATTTACTCTTTATTTTGAAATATATAGCACATTATTATTACCTATAGGTATCCTGCTATGCAAAAGATCTCAAAAACTTTTCTTCTATGTCCTTTCACCAACATCTCCTGGTCCCCTCCCTCACTATTCCCTACATCAATCCTCTGGTAACCACCATTCTGCTCTCTATATCTACAGTTTGACTATTTTAGATTCACATATGAGTGAGATTATGCAGTATTTGTCTTTCTGTTTCTGGCTTATTTTACTTGACACATTTTCCTTTAGGTTCATCCATAATGTCACAAATAAAAGAATTTATTTTCTTGTATCAGGTTGAAGAGTATTTTATGATGTGTATAAACCACATTCTTTTAAAATCCATTCATCTGACAATGGACATTTGGGTTGATTCTCTATCTAGGTAATTGTGAATAATGCTGCAGTGAACATGAGAGCGTATGTCTCTTCAACCTATTGACTTCAATTCCTTTGGATATGTACCCAGAAGTGGAATTGCCAAATCATAAGGTAACTCTAATTCTTTTTTGGTGGGCCCTCCATACTGTTTTCCAAAATGCCTGTACATATTTACATTCACACCAACAGTATACAAGGATTTCCTTTTCTCTATAACCTACCAACTCTTTTTTCTCTTCGATCATAGCCATCCTAACAAGTGTGAAGTGATATTACATTGTAATTTTAATTTCTATTCCACTCACGATTAGTTATGTTATACATATTGTCATCTATATGTTGGCCATTTATCTATCCTCTTTTGAGAAATGTATCTTTAGGCCTTTGGACCATTATTTATTTATTTATTTATTATTATTTTTTTTTTGAGACGGAGTCTCGCTTTGTTGTCCAGGCTGGAGTGCAGTGGCGCGATCTCGGCTCACTGCAACCTCCACCTCCCAGGTTCACGCTATTCTCCTGCCTCAGCCTCGGGAGTAGCTGGGACTACAGGCGCCCGCCACCTCGCCCGGCTAGTTTTTTTGTATTTTTAGTAGAGACGGGGTTTCACCGTGTTAGCCAGGATGGTCTGGATCTCCTGACCTGGTGATCCGCCCACCTCGGCCTCCCAAAGTGTTGGGATTACAGGCGTAAGCCACATTGCCCAGCTGGCCCATTTTTTAAATGGATAATTTGTTTTCTTACTTGAGTTCCTTGTATATTTTAGATATCAGGGAATAGCTCCTTATCAGATACATAGTATACAAACAGTTTCTCACACTCTGCGGGACATCTCTAAACTCTAATTCCTTCCTTACGGTGCAGAAACGTTTTGTTTAATGTAGTTCCATTGGTCTATTTTTCTTTCATAGATTGTGCTTTTGGGGTACTATCTAAAAACATTAATGCATAGACCCATACTGTGTCACTTTCTCTCCCATGTTTTCTCTCAGCAATTTTACAGTTTCAGGTCTTATGTTTGAGTCTTTAGTATATTTTGTATTAGTTATTTTATATATTGTGAGTTAAGGGTCCACTTTCTTTCTTCTGCATGTGGATATCCAGTTGTCACAACACTATCTATTGAAGGAATGGTCCTCTCCCCATTTTGTGTTCTTGGAATCTTTGTCAAAACTCAATTGGCCATAAAAGCCTAGGTTTATTTCTGGGTTCTGTTCTCTTCAGTTGATCAGTATGTCTGTTTTTATGCCAGCACCATGTTCTTTTGATTACAATAGTTTTATAACATATTCTAAAATCAGGGAGTATGGTGGCTTCAGCTTTTTCTTTTTGCTTAAGATTACCTTGATTTGGCTATCCAGGATGTTTTGTGGTTTTGTACATATTCATGGATTTTCTATTTCTGTGAAAAATGAAAATACATTTTGATAAGGATATCATTAAATGTGTGGATCGCTTTGGGTAGTATGATTATTTCAACAATATTAATTATTCATTAACTAATAAAAAATTAATTATAAATTTATCCAAAAAGGTAAAATTTGTATATACAGAAAACTATAAAATGCTGATAAAATAAATTGAAGAAAACATTAGAAATTGAAAGATATCCTGTGCTCATGGATTAGAAGAATTAATATTGTTAAAATATTCATGTTGCTATATTTATTTAAAAATTGCTAATACAATTTTAAATATGCATAACTCACAAATTATTCACTGAGAAAATGGAATCATTATTTTGTAGAGCAATTAAAATGAAGAAAAATGAATATGAAAAATTGATGAATAAAATAGTTCAAGAAAAATATTATGATTTTTCAGAAAACAAAATGTGAAACATAACCTCATGTTTCTTTAAAGATAAGTTTCTTATAGATAAGGACATGGAAAGCTTAAAAAGCAAAATGATACAATATAATATAATGTAAACACAAAACAAAAGATATTACAGCTGTACTAATTATAATTAAAGTACATTTTAAGAAAAAATAAATCACTAGATAATGGAGGCATATTTTGTAATTTAAAAAACACATATAAATATATGCACATATATAAACATAGGCACACTTTTACATATAGACACACATCTATCTATATATACATACATATTCAAATAATGAGAGACATTTATACACCACTGTTAATAGCTAATATAATAAAGAGAAATAATTGGTAATAGTATAATAGATCTGAAAACACAAGCTATACAATTAATCTAAGTAAACAAAATCTACTCCCAATCAAGGTAATTCACATTTTTTTAAGTACACATGGAATATTTATCAAAACTGAGCACAAACCATTATTAATCAGCTGTGAATATATTTTTAAAATACATCAATTTTTATCATAAGATGATTAAGATAGTAGTCAATAACATAAAGTTAAAAATTTCCAACTACTTAAAAAAATTTTTACTTATAATGAACTAATGATTCAAAATGTAAATCACAATATAAATTATAAAATATATTCTTAAATATAGGTAGATATGTGATATGGTTTGGTTGTGTTGCCACCCAAATTTCATCTTGAATTGTAACTACCCCAATTCCCACATGTCATGGGAGGAACCTGATGGGAGGTAATTCAATCATGGGGGTGGGTCTTTCCAGTGCTTTTCTCATGATAGTGAATAAGTTGCATGAGATTTGTGAGATTCGATGGTTTTAAAAATGGGACTTTCCCTGCACAAGTTCTCTCTTTTCCCTGTTGCCATGTAAAATATGCTTTTTACCTTCCACCATGATTGTGATGCCCCTCCAGCCACGTGGAACTGTAAGTCCATTAAACTTCTTTTTCTTTATAAAATACCCAGTCCCCAACATGTCTTTATCAGCAGCATGAAAATGAGCTAATAGAATTTGAGAAAAATATTAAACTAGTAAGGTGCAGATAAAACAAAATTTAGAAGATACTTGATAGCTTTCAATGTATACATTAGAAAAAAAGAAAAATATATAAGAATAGTAGCATTGATAACATCATGGTAATTAATATCAGCCCAAAGGAAAGAGAAGAAAATTATAAAGAGCAAAAATAAATGAATTGGAAAACAAAAAATTGATAGAAAAGATTAGCAATGTTAAAAATAGCTTTTTCATAAACACAAATAAACTTTATAACTCCTTCCAAGATTGATCAACAGTGAAAGAATACTGCAATTCTCATTATAAGTAACAAAATAAAATCCAAACAGACTTTATTATCTCTGCAACAGATTGTGTAAAATTGATATTATTTTTTATTATATGAAATTACAGGCCTAAAATACAGGAATACAAATATACACTTTTAAAAAGTATAGTAAAAATTATTCGCACTAATTGGTAAGCAAAATTTTATATGTAGGGTACATAAAGCATGAAACATTAAAGAAAAATAAAACTGATGAATTGCACTTCATCAAAAGGAAAAATTCACCCTGCCAAAGTCATTGTTAAAAAAACAAAAATATAATGATCTATTTTCCTTTTGGTATACAAAAAAACACATGCACTTATATGGTCATTGCCATATTATTCCCCAGAGCAAAGACATGTAAACAATGTCCATCAATGGTGAGTCAGATAAAGAAAATGTGGTACATACACTCCATGGAATACGGCACAGCCTTAAAAATTGAATGCGATCACTTCCTTTGTAGCAGCATGGACGTAGCTGGAGGCCATTGCCCTAAGCAAATTAATGTAGGAACAGAAAACTAAACATTAGATGTTCTCACTTAAAAGTGGGAGGTAAACATTGAGCATATGGGAACTATAGACACTGGGAACAAATAGAGCTAGGAGGCAGGAAGTGAGCATGGATTGAAAAACTGCCTATTGGATCCTTTGCTCACCACCTAAGTGCAATATACCCATATAAGAAACCTGCACATATACCTCCTATACCTAAAATAAAAGTTGAAATTTAGGAAAAAAAAAAAAAAAAAAAAAAAAAAAAAGAAAAGAAAAATATATGTGACAGGCTGGGAGAAGTCACTTGCAATGCATATTTCTGACACAGAATGTGTCCCAAATATACAAAGAACACTTACAACTCCACAATGAAAGAACGTACACCCTCTACATATTGCCAACGTATTTCAACAGTCACTTCAGGGAAATATAAGGCACGTGAATCTCCGATAATTGCATAAACAGATGTCAAGGCTTGTTAGTCATCAAATAATATCACAATGAGATATCATGCAACTTTGATATCACACAGCCTGTAAATTCTAAAATTAAAAAAGATAATGCCAAATATTAGGAGGTTGTGCAATGGGAACTTTCATAATTTGTTGAGGGACATGTAAAATTGTACAACCACTTTGGCAAACCATATGTCACTTCTAATAAACTTAAATATTAAGCTTATCATATGGTCCAGAAACTGTATCCATATGTATATACACAAGATAAATCAAATACATATCTACATAAAATCTTCTACATTAATTTTATGGAAGTTTTATTCATAGGGCTGCAAACTGAAAACAATTTGAATGACCATCACTAGGTGAATAGATAAATATATTATACCTTATGCATTCAATGGAATACTTCTCACAAATATTATAAACCATTATTATAAATGTAGCAGCTCATATAAACCTCAAAAGCATGCTAAGAGAAATCAAATATGTACAAAATAGGAATTACTGAGTGATACAATATTTGTTAAACGCTAGGACAGTTAAGTCTAATTCATTTATTGTAATAGAAAGGAGATCAGGGGCTTCTTTAGGCCAGGAATGAAAAAAAAATAGACTTTAGAAATAAAAGAAGATCAGTGAAAAAGTTTTATATTTGGAATCTAATGGTGGTAAATCTAAAGGAGTGTAAACATTTGTGAAAAGCCATTAGACTGTATACTTATAATTGGTACATTTTATTTTATGTAAATTTTAATTAATATAGTTTTTTAAAATATTAGAATGTAAAAGAGCGTTATAAAAAAACTTTATGATGATAAATTTGATAACTGATGAAATTGTCAAATGTATTGAAAAATAATTTTCAAAAGTGTACCCAAAAATAATTGAGTCTTTTAAAAGTTTATTTTTAAAAGTCTAAGTTTAATTTTAAAGGAATATTATAGTCATTCCGGGGCTGGAGAAAACATAGAACACCTGTGTGTGAATGCCTTTGATATGTCCATCGTATGTTTGATAACAAATCCTAACCAAGACATTAGAGGCAGAGAAATTTCCAATCTTTCTCACACACAAATGAAAAAATTAGCAAATACATATGGTTTTATTAAGAACAGCAATACATTACTACCAAGGAGATCTGTGAATGCATATGCAGATTGCTACTTGAAAATCTCCAATTGTTCATAAAATTGACAGCTAAAAGGAAAAACACCCATATAATTATCTTGACAGATGCAAACATATTATTCAATGTAATTCAAAACTAATTGATGATAAAATGGTTTTGACAAAATATGAAAAGGAAGTAACTTCAGCAAATTACGTATTAAAAGGTGAAATAATGATTGTTTTTTATCTGTGACATAATGAAACTTGAAGATCCAGTATCTGACTTTTATTCAACATTGTTCATGAAGGTTTTTAAACTTAATTTTCATAAACCAGATTTCTCCTTCCAAGATATGGCCCTATGCTAAGGTAAACTTCTGAGAGTAGACACAAAATTAAGAATGACTGAGACACCACATATGAAGAAATAAGCAAATCTAGATAAAGGTGAGTCATGGGGATACAGGTAAGAACTTCAGAAGGCAAACCATCATATTTTTGAGCGCTGAGACAAAACAACAGAATTAAGAACCTCCTTAAAGTTTTAAAAAGGTATTCTAAACTACACTTTCCTGTTAAAAGTTACAATAAAAACCCTACCATTACACTTTAACATCAGAAATTGTTGCCGTCAGAACACATATCCTTATTATGTCTGAAACACACACGCACACACACAAGCCCAAATCATAAAAATCACATTTTTATCATTTTTTTTCATTTTATTTTCACTAAGAAAATGAAAGACCAAAGACTACAATATTGATACAGGAGGTAGAAATATATTACTTAGGCAGATAGGGCAAAAAATTCCTCGGTGGAATTTTCCTTCTAAGAAAAAGCAGCCCCCAAAATCATTTCTTTTCTAACAAATAGCAGGCTGAAAAATCAAGCTGCAAACATAAATAAAGAGGCTGGAAGCTTGCAGCGGGGAATGCTGGTAGCTGTGTCAGTAGAAAAAGGCTACCTGGGGAGAGGCAGGTCCAACATGGAGGATCCGTCTTCCCTTTTGTTACTACGTGTACCACATTAAAGAAATGAGCAACATGGTGCAGCTCAAGCAGAGAACTTGCCTACATAATAAAAGATTGGGGTGGTGATGGCCAGAGATTCACACCCTGTGCAAATGGCACACCTGGTCCAACCAGTTTTTTGTGTCC